CTAGAAATAAGACTCAAAATAATTTACTTTGTGGCTGGACAAGACTCAAATAAAACAAGACACGAATGGTAGAAATTTTGAGATCCTAGAAAACTTCTACCCAATTAGGAGTGGCTGAAATTTGGAAACTTCTTGGACGACCAGATTTGGAAATTTGTTTGGGAAACTTGGGTTCACTTTTGGAAAGCAAGATATTGGTTTCAAAACTTTTCCAAGTGGCTTAATCAATTCCAAGTTGGACGAGGTTAATGTAACCAAATTTACGTAACAAACCAACTCACAATAGGTTTTAAAATTGCGAGCTATTCTTGATCCGTTTCCTTTTTCTTTTTTTTTTCCTTTTTTTCTTCATGGATCAGATTCTCTCTTCTTTTTTTCATTCAAGGTTGCTTAATTCCAATACAACAGCCGCAAGTTGAATTTCCAAGAAAATGAATTAGGGTTCAAGATTTGGAAAGTTGGTTTCAAGAGATTCAAGAACCCAAGAACTTCAAGGTTTGTTGTTGGAAATTAGTCAAAGGGCTCAAGAAATTCAAGATTTTGTCTAGAATTCAAGAGCTTCAAACGTTCTCCCAAGAAACAAGCAAGGTCAGCCATGAATCAACAAGAAACTAGTGAGCAGCCATGAATTTTCCCCACAGGTAATGACCAGATTTTTTTTTATTTACTCTAGTGGACACAAGACTTCAAGAACAATAAGAGACAAACACAAGGTAAAAAAATTCTTTTTGGATGAACAGTAACGATGTACAGTATGCTACAGTATGATGAACAGTAACGATGAACAGTGATGATAAACAGTACCGAATCATTATTTTTTTTGTAGACACACAAGAAGGAACGCAACACAATGATTGGAGGCACAGGAAAAAGAACACTGACAGATTGGGTAAAAGGAAAACTAACGAAGGAATAAGAACACAAAGACACAAAAAAAGGATACACTTGATACCGTCAACTAGTTCTGATGCCAAGTTGATACGACCCCATCCAAGGGTATGAACTTGTATCCCACCTAGCCCTGGACCTAAACAAAGAAATCAAGTTGAAGTGGAACCCTTGACCCTTCTAAACCACGAAGGTATGAACCAAGATAAATTCTTGACCCTCAACCTAATAATTTAGCTAACCAAAGTTGTTGGTAGATGATGCCACAACCAATTGTGGTTATTGGTTGATAAATCAATGAACACTCAAGAAGAATTCTCAAGTATTCAAGTTGGATGTCTTGGACAAGAGAGTTGCGAAGACACGCAAGTGTTTGCTGGAAAATTTACTCTTCATAAAATCTGGAAAACAACGTTGAACCAAGGCTATATTTATAGCCTTTACAAGACTTAAGTATCCTAATCAATTTGGAAACAAGTAATGACTTTTCTAAACCCTAACTTGACTAAATTAGGAAACTAACTAACTTAAATGGGCTCAATAATGGTCCACTTGACCTGGCCTTTATTGCATAATTCAAATGACTAAATTAACTCTTAATCTAACTCCAATTAAGAACTAATAATGCTGGAAATTATCTAAACAAAGACAACATGAAGTAAGCTTAAACAGTTTCGGATCTTCAATGAACTTGATCACTTGCTTCACATGAAACTTAAGCATGCGAAATCTTTATGGACTAGAGTAGGGAATCCGGATCATATCACTATTTCTACCTATTGTCATCTTCAAATCAAGCATGCAACCAAATCTCTCTAAAGTATATGGAAGGTTGAAGTTGCTGGCCATTTTACCTTATTTTTCTGCTACATATCAAGTTAGAAGTTGGCTCACCTTCTTGATTTTTTCTCGGCTGGAAATGGAGGCAAGACAAGGCTTCTCTCAACTGGAAGTGGAGACAAGACACTCTAGTCTCTCTTGGTTGAAATGGAGCAAGATAAGGGAATTCTCTCAGCTCTCTCTCTAGTTTTCTCTCGGCTGAAGTGGTGCAAGATAAGAGAAATTCTCGCAACTGTCTCTCTAGTTCCTCTCTCGGCTGAAGTGGAGCAAGACAAGAGAATAATGCTAGCCAAAAGTATTGTAGGTCATGCAAGATAATCTACACTTGGCACTCCCTTCTCACAACTTGTCAAGCATGCATAAGTCAAGAACTAATCTAACAATTACCTCACACTTTTATGTTATTATGTTATGCCCCTACTAATTTGTTATTCTAGTTAGAGTTAAATCCTATAAGGGTTGATCCTACACAAATTTAGGGTACATTCAATTTTTTTAATCACAAGAAACAAGTAAACAAGTAAATTAAAGAATAACAAACAAATCACAACATTTTCAATTCTAGATAAAAACATAAATTGTATAATTAATTTTGGGTTCTTACACTATTCAAATTTGATTTTGGCCAAAGTAGTATCATATAAACACAGGGTTATAAAAGTTCTCCCAAATTATTTTTCTTTTATTAGTTTTTAGTAATTTAAGAAAATAATAAGTTCATCATCTATTAGTTTGTTTTCTAGAATTCTTTTTAGTCATGAAAGAATCAAATATTCAATTGCACTTATTTCCTAATATATTCCCTTCACTCATTTGTTAACTTGCCACCATTAATTGAATGAACATAGTCGCATTACGAGATAGGATTCAATTGAAACTAATTATTAAGCTTTTTTTTTACACCTTTTACCCCTATCCGCAACCTTTCCACCCCCAATGGCTAGGTACAGGATTCAAATCCTGAACCTAATAGTAGGGAAGAACAAACTAATTATTAAGTTGGTATAAATTAACTATTTTTATTCTATTTAATTGCAATATTTCTCTTATAATTAGTATATAAAATTTTATAAAATAGTATTTTTTTGGTTCTTTTTTAATAATTTTTGTTAAAAAATTAACACTTTTAGAAAATAAAAAAGTGCCCGTGTAAATGCACGAGTGAATAACCAGTATATAAAGAAAGATCTATACAATATATAAAGAGAGGGAGGGTGGATTTGGTGTAAGCAATATTTGTCACTTATAAACTTTCAGTTTTACCCTTATAGCAACTACTCTTACTTTTACTACTTAAAGACATGGTTATGGTTAATTATCTTGAAAACATGTTTTGCTTCAACTATTTACTTTAAATCTCAGCATCATAACTACCAATATAGCAATTATTATGTGAAAGAAATTTAAGAGATTATTGTTTGCTTTAGCAATGAAAAATTCATTTAAAATAAACATTATACAATTTCTATTACACACACATCGAGTGTGCAAAAGGCACTGGTCTCTACATGGGCTAAATATGGGCTTTGCTTGGCAAACGAAATTTTGGGGGTTTGTCTACTACATTGCGTACATTGCTATGGAAATTTCACAAAACCTTTTGTGTTTCAGTGTTAGAAAGATGGGTGTAATACTCCGCCACCCCCACTTGCCACCCATCCTTGCCACCAACTGCCACCACCTATCCCACTAACAACTGCCACCTTCTTCCCTCCCTTCTCCAACCCTACCACCACCTCTCCTCTCCTTCGTCCACCTATTTCCCTCTCCTTTTTCTTTGCTGTCTTCTCATCCTCGATGTGGTCAAGATCAATTTTGCCCTTCCCCTATTATTCCCACCTTGCCACCACCTCTCCCCTCTATCCTTCTTCCCTTTCCCCCCTTCTTGGCTTCCCCCCCTAAAAAAAAGCCTAAACTAGTCTAATCTGAACTAGATCTGGTCCAGACTTGGGGTTGTGAGCATCAATGATGGGGAAAGAGGAGGAAGGAAAGGTGGTAGCGGGGTAGGGAGAAGAGGGGAAGGGGAAAAGGTGGCGGGTTTGATCTGGGGATAAGGGATAGTGAGAAAGAGGGAAGAGTGGAGGAGAAGGAGGGAAAAGGGAGGGAAGTGGTGCTTGAAATCATCTATCCCATATTTTGTCTCTATCCAATCTTTGTTTAACTATCACGTATATTGTGCTATTGAATTTATACTCCAATAGAATCCTAAGAGTTATTGATTATTGGACTTATCACAATAGAATCCTACGAGTTATTAATCAATACACGTGGTAGTTAAATAGAATGGGACAGACGAGATAGAAACAAAATTTGGGACAGATAATTTCAAGCAGGGAAGTGGTGGCATGGTAGGGAGAAGAGAGAAGATGGGAAAGGGGAGTGAGAGGTGGTGGCAACTAGAGAGGGAGTTGGTAGGTAAAGGAGGAGAGAGGTGATGGTTGGTCCTAAGGGATGAGATGTGGTAGAGGACAGTTTGGGGGGGAGGGAGGGGGCTATGAGGATCTTAAAAATTTCATTAATTTTTGAAAATTAAAATCAAAATATTATTTAAATGTTGAAATTATTAAATAATATGTATTTATATTTAATAATGTGTATTTATATTATTAATGATGTTTTCACTTATAAAAATGTTATATTTTAATTTACATGAATTTTTAAAAATTTATTTGACGGTTCGCGTTCGACTAAGCGTTAGGGTAAACTTTTGCGCACTGACGTGCAATGTAGCCCTAAGTTGAAATGTAGGATATGTAGAGGTTATAAAAATGTACAACTAAGCTGAGGATGTGTTAAATGGGGAATTCCTACCAGTAGATAAAATTCTCGCGCGTAAACGCGATTCAATTCAAAATTTTCCCACCATTATTAGCATGCCCAAAAGTCAATTAGACTACTCCCTAGACTACCCCAATTTTCCTCCCATCTTGTCACCAGCTACCACCCTTTTCTTACCCCACTAAACTTCTGCTCCTCTGCTGCAAGAAGAAGCAGAAACCGCTGCCTTCCAAGCTCCAACAGCCTCTCATCTTCAGCCACTCACCCAGTCTTCAAGCTTCCATTTTCAGCTTCCACCTCCACTTCTTGCTGCTGTCCAGATCGAGCAAGAGGAAGGAGAGGATCGTTGTTGCTGCTGCTACTCTCGCTGCTCCTGCCGCTGCTACTACTGCTGGGTTGTTCGGACCAGGGTGAAGGAGAAAAACCAGCTTCCTATTTCTTCCTTCCACGAACCACAGAACCATCTCAAGCTCACCAAAAACCCCAGAACCCCAGCCCTCTTCATCTTCAGTCGCTGCTGTGCTGCTGCGGTGACTGGCCAGACCGAGAGGGAAACAGAGAGCAAGGGAGCCGGCTGATCCTCTGTGGTTCTAGGAGCAACTTGAGGAACTAGACAATACATTTAGCTAGTAAACAACCCACTTGAAGGTAACAAACTCCAGCTTAGCACCTTAGCCAAAAATTTCAGATTTTGCAGCTTGTGGTTCTTGAAATGTTAACTTGCGTTGGTGAAACTTGTTGGGTTGCTGAACCTCTAAGCTAATGATTGATGAAGCTAGAGGTGTTTTATGTGTTTATATGTGTGTTTTGTGGTGGGTAAATGTTTGGGAAATTTTAAGAATGAAAATGGAGAGCTGGCCGAAATGGGAAGGCAAAATTCCAGCTTGGTTACCGGTTGTTGTTTTGCAATTTTTACTTAGGTAATGAACTGGATTGCTTGTTGGGAGGTTAGACTAGTTAGTTGTGATTGTTATGGACTTAAAGTATGACTTATAAGTTGAAAATGGTTGAGCAAAAAGAGGAGAAAATTCTGCTCTGCTATAGCCGCACAAACAGGCTTGACTTTCTTCCATTGTTACCCGAATTCTTGAGCTGGATTTTGTGAAGTTATTGGGCTATTTAAATCATGTATATGTTCACCTATATGGGTAGCTTATTATTGTTGAAAATTGTTAAATGTGGGCTCTATGAACTCCCACTTTGAGTTGATGGCTGTGATGATATTTGATGATGGTTTTATTGTTGAATTAGTGCTTAAGGAAGTAGATTAAAGGTGCATTATTGCTAGAAACTTCATTGAGCTCTTGAAGCAAAAAGTTCCGATTCTGCCCCTGCCAAGACCGACCTTTTTCATGCGAAATTCTGAGGTTTTAACGGCTTGTATTTGATGTTTATGTGTTGTTGGAGTTGTGTGTAAAGTTTCGTTGAAAGATATTGAGCTTTGGTTGACCAAAGGTGATGAATTCCAAAACCAGCAAAATCTGGAAATTTTTCCCGTATGGCTCAGGCAGCCATTTTGTTTCGATCATAACTCTGCCCTATGACATCGAAATTGAGTGCCGTTAGCGCCATTAGAAACTAGACTCTTCCAGATTTCCAACGGTGTAAAATTCACGTCCTGGTTCCACCTGAGTGAACCGTGGCAGTCTTTTAAAGTCACCTGTCCTGCTCCACTGGTTCACTGGAAGCCAGGATATGAGCTGCGTTTTGTTGCCAGATTTCGAGCTAGTTATGAGTAGAATTTTAAAATGATTTCTTCTGAACAATTGTATCCCTATGAGTGTAGTTTCCAACGCTACCAACCATGCTCAAATCTAAGTTGAATTGAATGAGATGTGACCAAAATACGAAAACTGCTCTGCTGTTGAACCAAACTGTCCAAATTTCCCAGTTTGTGTTCGAGTTTTTGATCTGATTCTTGACAAGAAATTGAGCTTCATGGATTGTGTAAATGTTAAGCTGAATGTCTATGGTCATTTGAGGGAAAATGCATCACTTTCGTAGTTGAAATGATGTTGAGGAATTGAAGGAAAAGGAAGGTATATGCTGTCCAAAAAATTCTGGAAATTTTCCAGATTTTAGTCGAATTTTGGGGGTCAATTTTGACAAATTTTTGAACTACTTGGGCTGTATGCATGTTAACCTATATGGGTAGTATTGTTTGGGTGAAAATGTAGCTTTTGGGTAGTTGAAAAATTTTGGATAAATTGAAGGGGAAATGGACTACTTGCTACCGAATGCACCTGAAATTTTTCCAGCTTTGAATGATAATTGTGAACTGTTTTCATGATAACTTGAGCTCAAATGATTTGTGTGTTAATTAAGGGGTTTGTATAGCTCAATTTGGGACAAAAATCTAGTAGAGGTTACGTCCAAAAAGTGGACCAAAATCTTATTCTTCAAGAAGATACCAAAACAGAATTTTTGTTTGAAATTAGAAATGGTTTGATGTTTGGATTTCATTGTGGGTAAATGTGGACCAAAGTTGTCCCGAAAATGTTTTCTAGCATTAACCGTTGTTACTAGGTCCACTTGAGTTGATAACCTTGAATTTTATTAGACCAAATGCCCTATTTTGAGGAATTTGTCAAATCTGGAAATTTTCCTAAAAACTCAAGTTTTTGCCTTCATGAAAATCATTGGACTAAGTTGGTCGTGGAATTTGGCAAACTTAAGGAGTTTCTATTTTATAGAAATTCTAACGACTAGTTTTTCTTGGTTTATATGATTGCCTCTTAAAGGAATTTCCCAAGATATGTTTGGGAAAAATTTGAGGGGAAAATTCCTCTAAATGGTTTAAATGTGATTTTTCTCAACTTGTGACACCAAATTGGTGTTAAATGGCTTATATGATTCTAGAACTTGGATATTGGAATATTTGACGAATTTAGCAAGTTTTTGGGTTTTAAAGAAACCTCAAAATTTAATTTCGCTCGATTTGTGGATTTCACTTTGAGAAAACGATTAATACTAGTTTGGGATTTTTGAGTGAAATTAAATGCTAGTTGACTCGAGTTAAATTCGCCAACTCAAAAGTGAAAATTTATGTGAATTATTTGTATGATTTTAGGAGTTGGTGAAGAGCACAATCTCGATCAAAGTTTGGAATTCTAGACACTTCACTTGAGGTGAGTGTCTCTTGCATGAATCGTGTTTAACTGTTAGTTGAACTACTTGTTAAAAGTACTTGCTAGAGATATCATGAAATGTTATATGCTATGTGATTGCGTGAAATATCACAAGTACAAGTGTTGCAATGTCGATTGGAGCGTGGTCTCGTCGACTAAATGAACCAGACGGATGCACGTACCATGCTCTATTAGAGTGGGAGGTACCTCTCTGCCGTCTTGGTAAAAGTGCTTGCAATATTCGTGTTGGAGTCGGGCCCGAAAATAAGGGGGAAGTCGTTGCTAGGAGACGTGTAGATTAGGGAAAATGTCTACATGGAGATTAGATAGTGAAAGTTGACGGAGTGTCAACTACTATAAATTACCTGATCAAGCGCGAGGACTTTGGCTCCTGAGAGCCCCGTATCCTTTTCTTGTCATGTTATTTCGCTTTCTTAAATTGTTAAGTGCTTACTTGTCTATTTGTACTTGTTAAATTGCCTTATGTGAATTGCATGTTTCGAGGCACCACTGAGCTATTGGCTCATCCCTTCCAAATTGTTTTCCTTGACAGGTTCTGAAATGCATGAAGTCTTGGAGAACTAGAACAGAAATGTTATATTTTGAATGCCCACTTTTGTAATTGTACTTTTGGAAACGTTAGTATCTTTTGGATGATTTTTGTGTTTTTGGGAAAATGTGAATCCTGTGGTGCTTCTGTGCCCTGGATTAGGAACTTTAAATTGTAAATTAAGTTGAATTTAAGTATACTAAACTCGACGTTTTCGTTGGTACTTGGAATTGTGTTTTGGGCTGTATAAGTTGAATTGTATGAATTATTTAAGTACGTGACTTGCTCGAGAAGTAAGGTTTATTTTCGATTTATATTTGGTGAAATTAGTTACTAGAGTGCGTGAATCCTAGCGAGAGCTAGGCAGGCGACCCGCCAACCCTTTGGTTCGCCTTAGGGAGAAGTGGGGCCGCCACAGGGGCATTTGGGTATTTTAGGGAGCTTTTGATATTTCACTGTCAATGGTATATTAAAAAAATTGTCTCTTTCTAAAACAGGGCAAAAACCCATTTGCCAAACGAAGTTATGATTATGAGCAATTACAACTTGTCAAGTTTATCCTTTATTGTGATTAATATATTGGTAATTGTTGAAGATAAATTGGCGACATTCTAAGCAATATTGTAAGCATCATATGTCCCTTGATAGAAATATGTGCTTGCTGCATCATTGTTAAGCCTAAGACCTTGTAACTTTAACACTTCTGAATTAACTTTCAAAAAGAATTATTGATCATGTACTTTGTTTTCCTAATCTTCTAAGTCTAGTGATAACATGTATTTTGGGAGAAAACAAATCATCACCATATCATGAGTAACCTATTGGTGTTTATAGGAATAGCACAGACCTAATACAAAATCTATTAAAATCTATTTTCAAGAATACCATACCAACCTATTATTTACAATTAAAATCTATTTCAAGAAAACCCTTACTAACCTATTATTACAAAAATACTCATACTTTTTACACTTCTCCTCAAGTTGGAGCATATATATCAAAAGTGTCCAACTTGTTATAAATGTATTTCACCCTAGAGCCTCTTAAACTCTTAGTGAACAAATTAACCAATTGATCTACAGATTTTACATAAGACATCCCAATTACTCGTTCAATCAATTTATCTCGAGTAAAATGGCAATCAACTTCAATATATTTAGTCCTCTAGTGAAAGATTGGATTAGATGCAATGTGAATAGTTATTTGGTTATCACACACTAAATTCATAAGCTAGTTATGCTTAAACCCAAACTTAAGTAACATGCTCTTCAACCATAACAATTCACACGTCGTGTGAGCCATAGCGCAATTTTCAAATTTTGCACTTGACCTGGGGACAATTGTTTGCTTCTTACTCATCCATGACACTAAATTACTACCAACAAACACACAATATCCTATGGTTGACCTTCAATCTGAAATAGAACTAGTGTAATTTGCATCACTGTATCCTTCAGTATGAGTATGTCCATGATTTTGATACAGCAACCCTCTTTTAGGAGCATTTTTAAGATACCCAAGAATTTGTATAACAGCATCAGAATGACTAGTGCTAGGGGTCTTAAGAAATTGACTTTTTTTTTTTAATCAAAATTTATTTATTCAAAAAGAACGAACGCCGAAGAATACAAGGCTTTGTTCAACACCATTTAATGCCTAACATAAGGAACTGCTAGCCTATCTAATCTCAGAAGAGCTTTAATCCTACGTGGCATCGCTTCTTCCCCGTTGTACACCACTTCGTGTCCCAATTGAGCCGAAGCCATTGCATCAGCAACCATATTCGCCTCGCGATAAACATGACTAACCGTTGCCCCCAGGTTTGCTAGTAGACACCGTAGCTTCCGCAGCACATTGCATAGTGGCCAGTTTGCCAAAGCCCCCGAGGAGATCATTCGAACGAGCGTATCCGAATCGCTCTCTGCCCTTACCCCTGTGAAGTGCCTTTCCTGGCAGTAGTGGAGACCCGCGAGTAGAGCAAGCGCCTCCGCATGTACCACACTCACCTCCCCAAACTCCTTGTAGAAGGCAAAGATCACCTTCCCTTCGCTGGACCGGACCACGCCTCCTCCGAAAGCCCCCGCTGAAGTGACACTGGCATCCGTGTTCAGTTTCAGATACTGCGTAGGGGGTTTGACCCATGCCACCAGCGACGGACTCCGCCCTGCTACCACCTGCCTTCCTTTAGCCCAGACACAATCCCCGTCTCCCCGAAATGCGCGCCCTAATTTCTGCGCGTCCCCCAATTGCTCAATGAGGTTTCCCACCTGCCCAATAATACGCTCCGCGCTCATTCTCGATCCCTCGAAGTGCGCATGATTCCTAGCTCGCCAGATAAACCACAAGGACGCCACAGGAACGATCACCCGTATATGATTCGCTGTCACCAACTGGTGAGATAAGAACCATGACAATAGCAGCGAGGGAACCGCGTGGAACCCCCTCTGCATAACACCAAATTGTTTGCCAAAATGCCCCCAGACAACTGATGCCACTGGTCCCGATCCAAATAGATGCCCCACTGTTTCCCGAGCCCTTTCACAGCAAGAGCACCTGGACCCTAGAAGAACACCTTTTCGCTGCAGTTGGTCATCCAAAGGAACCCAATTTTTTACCAAACGCCAGACGAAGAAAGAGAGTTTTTTTGGGAGAGCAGAACTCCAAATGAACTTGCACAACAGTGACCCATTCCTCTTATGCCGGAGCTCCTCCCAAGCCGTTGATACCGAAAATTCTCCAGAGGGTGACCCCTTCCAAACCAATTGATCCCTCTCCGCTGGGAAGATTTGCAGCTCCAAAATCATCGACACCAGCGGCTCCGGCAGCCATTGCCGAAGACATGCCACATCCCAACCGTTCTGGAAATAGAGCTCACCAACGAGCACACACGGCAAATCCGACCCCACCAGGAGTTGGGCCAGTGGTACCTCCGTGCACCAACGATCCTGCCAAAAATCAACCAAGCCTTCACCCAAACACCAGCGGATCCTTTTCTCCGCAAACTCGCGAATTTCAAGCAAACGCCGCCACGACGCCGGCGGCCGGTCGACCCTAGCAATGGCTGGGTGAACCCCCTTCACATATTTGCAGTGCATAAACTCTGCCCAGGCAGAATCCTTTCTCCGTAGCTTCCACCATAGCTTGCACGAAAAGGCCCTCATCCTATCCTCAAAAGAGCAGAAGCCCAATCCCCCTTCCTCCTCTGGAGCGCAAACTCTCTCCCAGGCTGCCCAGTGCACCCTCTTTTCCGTTGTGGAGTGGTCCCAGAGGAAGGCGTTGCAGATTCTTCCCAACGCGACAAACACCGCTTTGGGAGGTTGTAACACCTGGATCAAGTGCATCGGGATCGAGCTAAGCACATGCCGGATAAGAATTATTTTGCCTCCCATGGTTAGCATCTTGGAGCTCCAATGGAAAAGCCGTTGCCTCAGCTTGGTGAGCAACCCATCAAAATGTACACACCTAATTCTACCTTTTACCAGCGGAACCCCAAGGTACCGGAACGGTAATCTTTGCTCGCGAAACCCAAGAATGGACTGTACTAGCTGGAGCTGGTCAGCCGATGCCCCGGATGCTGGGGAGAACGAGCTCTTTTCGACATTGACTTTTTGCCCTGACAACGCCTGGTACCACGCCAAAAAATCCTTAATCGCGGTCAATGCGTCGGTCGAGCACCGTGTAAAGATCATGATATCATCTGCAAATGCTAAGTAGGGAACGCGTGAACCAGTGGAGATGTAAAACCTACTCTCCCGTGCCAGTAACAAGTCATGAATCCCCCGTCCTAGGAATTCGGCCACAAAAAGATACAATGCTGGCGATAGGGGATCTCCTTGTCTCCCCCCCGCGTAGACTTAAAATACCCTGAGGGCTTGCCATTGATTAACACCGAGAACCATGAGTTCGAGAAGGTCCGAAAACACAAGTCCACCACTTGTTCCTGGAATCCAAACTGGCGGAGCATGAAGAGCAGAAAAGGCCATTCTACCCTATCGTATGCCTTTTCCAAATCTAACTTGAGAATCAGGTTCGGGTCCTTCAGACGCCTATCTAGATCTTGTGCCATCTCCTGAGCCAGCAAGATATTATCAGTGATACCTCGACTTGGCACGAACCCTGTTTGCCATGGTGCAATAATCTGCGGGAGCACTTTGTTGAGTCTTGTTGCCAAAATCTTAGAGATAATTTTGGAGTTTACATTACAAAGGCTGATTGGTCGGAAGTCCCGCCATTGGCAGGCTCCCTCCACCTTGGGAATTAGAACCAAAAGAGCGCTTGACCACCCCCGTGGTTGACCCACCCCTTGGAAAAAAACCGAGATCGCCGCCACCAGGTCGTCCTTGATGATCGACCAGCAAACTTGATAAAACCCCACTCCAAAGCCATCGGGTCCCGGAGCACTATTGACCTCCATCGCAAAAACAACCTCTCGGATCTCCTCTGCTGTCGGCACCGCCATCAGGCTGCCATTACACTCCATGTCCACTGCTGGTACCGCAAAAGGAGGTTCGGGGAAGCCTCCTCTACATGCTGCCTCTGATGTAAACAATTTGGCATAGAAATCTATTGCAGAGGCCGTAATGAGTTGCTCAGAGTCACACCATCGGCCCCCCTCGTCCTTAATTCTAGCAATAAAATTAGAACTCCTTCGCTGACGAACTATGGAGTGAAAATAAGAAGTGTTAGCGTCGCCCTCGCGGAGCCACTTCACCGCCGCCTTTTGCCTCTAGAACTCGCATTCAACGGCCAGCTCTCTATTGTAGTCTGCTCTAGCCGCATTGAGACAGACCCTCGTGGCCTCATTCCTACACCTATCATATTCCTCCTCGCGCAGTCTGTACGTGGCCTCTGCTGTCTTAACCCTAGAGGTAATATTCCCGAATACTTCTCGACTCCATCCCCTCAGTTTCGTCCTTACCTGTTTCAGTTTCTGGGAGAATCGGGACATTCCCACCCCTGGTACATCCATTCCCCAAGCCTCACTAACAATCGAAAGAAAGCTGGGGTCTCGGGCCCAGACATTAAGGTACCGGAAAGAGTATGTTGACTTACGACACTCATTACAAACGAAATATCAGGCCTCGTCATAGTGAGATAATTTAGCTTGCCCACAAGTCTTCGATATTGTCCAGAATCATCTAGTAATGCACCTTGGTCTTCCATTAATTTTACATTAGAATCCATAGCAGTATCCACAGGTAGGTGACCTAACATCCCAATTCACTTAACAGATCAAATACATATTTCTTTTTGACATAAATAAATCCCATATTTAGACCGAACCACTTCAATACCCAAAGAATACTGCAAGTGACCCAAATCTGTTGCTTGAAAGTTTGCTTGGAGATTGGACTTAAGCTCTTGGATTCCCACGATATCATCACCTATAATCACAATATCATATATGTGAACAATTAACAAAACCTTACCAGCATTAGAATGCCGATAGAACACAAAGTGATCTACTCCACACCTTGTTAGACTGAACTCTATGATGACACTTCTAAATCAACCAAACGAAGTCTTAGGAGGCTGTTTCAATCTATGTAAGGATTTCTTCAATTGATACATCAACCACGAATTCCACCCTTGCCCCCCTACGGAGCAACGTACCCAGAAGGCTATTCCATGTACGTCTTCTTCCAAATATCCATGTAAAAATGCATTTTTACATCCAACTAATGCAAGGGCCAATTATAAGTCACTGCCAAAGATGTAAGAAGATGAACAAAAGTAATCCTTGCAACAGGAAAAGGTCTCTAAGTAGTCTATTCCATATACTTGAGTATATCCTTTAGCAAACAGATGAACCTTCACTCTATCAATTCCCATTAGGCTACACTTTTATAGTGTACACCCAGTTACAAACAGGCTTACCAGAAGGAAGAGGGACAAGATCCCAAGTACCATTCTTCTCCAAAGCAAGCATCTCTTCTTGCATAGCTAATTTCCAATCAGAATGATTTAGAGAATGGGTAACAAACTTAGGAATAGTTGCAGAATCAAATGAAGCAACTTAAGAAGAATATGACAGAGAAATACAAGAATAAGAAACAAAATTAGAAATAGGTTAAGAAGTACAATACTTCTTACCATTGCATAAAGTAATAGGAAGATCTAACTCACAGGAAGATGCGACAGCCGTATCTGAAGACCAAAGTCAATTGGCGAAATGTGTGCTGCATCAGGAGCTCTCTCAACTATGCAACTTAAAATCAATACGAGATAACCGAGTTGTGGAGTTTGATGGACTATACAACTCAGGTAATAAAGATGAAGGGGTTGGTAAAATAAGAGAAGAAAAATAGAAACATTGTTCTAACTCACTAGGCATATCTTGCTTCACAAATTAAAGAGTAGACTCAAAGAAAATAATATCAATATAAGTGAAAGAACAATTTAAATCTTTGCTATAACATGTGTATCCTTTTTACGCTCATGCATATCCTAGGAAAATATATTTAATAGTACATAGATCTAATTTGTCCAACCTGGGAGCAAGTTGATAAACAAAACATACACATCAAAAAATGCGAGGAGGTAAATTAAGAATGTGTTCATGAAGAAAACGGATGAAGTGAGGTAATTGACTACCAAGATTATTAGATGGCATATGATTAATTAAATAACATGCAGTTAAAATTGCATCGCTCCGAAAATGTTTAGGCACATTCATGTGCAACAAAAGTGTTTGAGTAATCTCAACTAGATGTCCAATCTTTCTTTCAACAACTCCATTCTCTTGTGGAGTGTGGCGACAAGAAGACTAATGGATAATACTAGATTTAGTCATAAAAGTATCAAAAGGAGGGGAAAATATTCTTTTTATTATCACTACAAAGTATACATATAGGTACACCAAATTGAGTCTTTATTTCTGTAACAAATGCACAAAAAATGTAATATAGTTTTGAACTATCTTTCATTAAATAAAGCGATGTAACTCTGGAAAGGACATCAACAAAGATTAAAAATATTTCAAACATAACTTTGAAGCAATACAAGTAGGACCCCAAAACTTCAAAATGAATTAATATAAAGGGATTAGAAACCCATTTATTGACTCTAGGAGTAAAAGAAATGTGATGATCCGACCTCTCCCTAAGGCTTACCCTAGAGTTTAGTAGACCACTTGCCTGAATCTCGCCAAAACTCACAAATAAATCCTAGAAGCAAGAACCATAACCTGAAGAACAAGAGCAATAGCAATGTTCAAACTTAAACATATATACATTCATTGGCATCGAATGTCCATACAGGCTGATAAGATAACAAAAGATTCATGCTCAAATCTAAATCAATAAAACTAAGAAGGTCACTAGGCCAATTAACAAAGGATCTAGATAGACTCTCTAGCCTTCTCCAACTCACTCGCCCACATTCTCGTCCCCTATAGAAAAAGCAAACTCAAGGAGTGAGTTTTCGCCCAATGAGTCTCCAAAACAACAAGCAAATGAAGTAGCAAGTTGGCAGTTACATATATCATAACCTCAAAGCGAAGAAAGTAAAGTTCACAAGATAAGTCATTAACATTTCAAATAAATAAGTCAGATAAACAATTAACACTTTCACACATAAGGATACAGTTTGCTCTTGCGAGCTAGTTCGACAGCAGCTTGTTCAAGATCCGTTGACACTACGTCAACCATGGGAATATAGTAACAAGTCCAGTAGAGCACCGCTTATCTCCAATCTCCATCCACTGATCACCCTCATACCGGGCCCAAACTCCAAAGATAATAGTAGAGGTAATACTCGAGTATGCCGATTCCAGAGGACCGAATCCAATGGAATAAACAATAAACACTACACATGGTTCGCCAATCTTCTCGACCAAACCCTTGCTGGCTTGATTCGACTAATTAGCCGATGGAGTTTGGAATCCCAAGTACATACCCATCCAACTTTCAAGTCATGCATATGAATATCATTTCACATGTAAATAGTATCAAGTTCGGGCGAGTATGATAAAGTACACTCTTGCTCAACAATAACAAGTAAAGCAAACCTAACAAGTCAATCAATCAATCAATTGAAGATAGCATGTCAAGTATGCATAATCTCGTCAAGATCATATATCGATCAAGTATCAAGTCCTAATATGCAGTTAGAACACTCGCTACCTGATCAAGGTCTATTAATATCAAACTCAGGCTCTGCTTCTTGGCCACTCTCGAAATTTGCAAATAGATATCGTATAGCAAGAAGCCATCAAACTTCCAACATAGGTTTTCCAAAACTCATAAATTTTTCTTGTGAAAATCAAAGGAAAAACCACGTAGATGTAACTTAATACCTCAAGCATAGGATGGAGAAAAACTATGTCAGAGTCTTGAGATGCAAAACTGAAAATTTCCAACTATAAAATGTTTTCGTGCAAACATCATTTTTCTCCTCTTAAATCACATTATTTTGGCTCAAATCCAACCAATATGTGAAACTCAAGGGTTTCTCAAGTAACTCGAGCAACGGTAGATCAAAATCACCCAAAACTTACACCTCAACTCTCACTCTCTCACTTGACCAACGAAGAAAGAAATTGCAGCAATATAACCCCAAGTTCCTCTAGTTAACCCTCCAATTTTCAACCCTATTTTCATGGCAAATCCACTATCAATCAAGATAACATGTCATAGGGTGTATGGTACATGTTCTAAGCAAAAAAAATCTATCAAAATTCCACATATATAAAGCTCTAAACTAAGCTACATATATCTTGCACCAAAGTTGGAAAATTGCAATCTAACTTGACAAAAACATGAAATCTTCCATAAACATCCTCCATTTAGCTTCTATCACTTGATATATCAAATAAACTTAAAGTTAAGAGAAACAAGAGATGTTTTCTAGCAAATTACCCCAAAACCCTAAGATGGAAAGCAAATAAAGAGCTTCCTTTCTCTAAGAACTTCACCAAAAGCTTCCTTCCAAACTTGATTTAAGGTTTGATGGAGTAGATTAAGATTTCTCTCTTGTTTTCTCACCAAGTATACAAGAAATCACGGCTTGAAATTAAGTTGTTTTCTCTCTTTTTTCTCCTCAAGAGTTCGGCCAAGACAAGGGAAAAATGAAAGAAATTTTGTGGTAAAATGAAAGCCAAACTTAGATAAATATAAAGCTAATCTTGGTCAAAGGACACCTAGATGATTGACACTTGGCGAAGCAAGGTTAATGTCTGTCTTTTTGTCTCTCTATTTATCTCTAATTACCAACATATCTTGTATTCCTCCAAATTAACTCTTAACACTTCTTGTCACATAATTTCCTTTGCACAAAACTCCTTCTTATCTACCAAATTTATTGCGCACATCTCACTAGTTGGTGATACTTGCATAATACACTACGAAACTCAATATGCACCAAATTAAATAAGGCAAAAGGATAAAAATCATGACTTAACCATTAAAGTAACCAAGAATTTAAGGCAAGTAATATGAAAATAAAATAAATAAATAAATAAAATATGAAAATGACTTTCGGGTCCTCACAAAAAACGTCATGATGCTTTCTTGACCAATAAGACTCACACTTTAATGAAGACAAATGACTCAAAGTAGAAACCAACTTCTACAAATTTGTATAGATGGATGACCCAAATGGCAGTGAATTCCAAGAGGAGAATCTGACAAGATTCTACCATGCATCAAATTTTAATGAAACTTAAATACTCTATTTTTTGCAAGTATACCGATCATTTATCGAAAATAGGGGTCTTAGGTGTCGATCCAACAGAAAAGATTGTCAATCACCGATGGTTTTTGAATTCTTTCATTATTTGGACTATCACAAATGCAAGAGATTAAATCTACACTACAAATATGAAATAAATGTAATAAAAATAACAATAGAAAGCTTTTAGGGTTATGGAATTCCTCACTATTCTTGCAAGTGAAATTACCTGTTAATTGAATGTTATTATCTTGGCTAGTTATGGCATAATTTTCTAATGTATGTGAAACCTACTCTCGTAGCGAATTAAATATACTTGTAACTAAGTCATATCTATTTTAGTTGCTATGAAATTAACTACAAGCTCATTTATTCTATGAAATTACATAAAACAAGCCACCAAAGCCATAAAGGTGCAACTCTACTTGCATGATTGAACTCCCTAGGTTTAGTACTTCCTTAAATTAGTGTCAATTTTCAATTCTCATTGTAAACTTAACACCTTAAAATTATCATAATTAATAGCCAGTTAATCATGATTAGAAAAGTAAAAGTTCTATATATCTTGCTCAAAAATATAACTCAAATAACCATGAAATGATCACATAACAATCATAAAAGTTCATCCACACGCTAGGTACAAAAACTAACAAAACATGAAAGAGATGAAAACAAGATCCAAACTTGTATTATAACCAAACATTAGAATCAATACAAGAAATAAAGTGAATGTAAAAATTTCATTCTTTTCACATGAGTTTCAAGCTCTCCATCTTCATCCTCAAATTCATCTGTGCTTAATTACATACAAGATTTGGATGAAACAAACTATACTAATTTACCCTAACTAATGAACTAAGAAAATCCTAGTGAAAGACTACATTTTTGTGTAGTTTCTCTAGGCTCCAAGTTTTGAAAAATGTTCTCCAAACCTTCTATTTATAGATGAATCAAGCTCTAATCAATTAAAGTTGTGTAACTTGTGTGTTGAAATTACCAAAAGATGTTTCGTCAAGTTTCTAATGTTACTTCTACAGAAACTAGCCAAAATTTATTTGTAAATGAGCTGGAAAAGATGTGTGAAAGTTGAGCAAGTTTGCATAGCCATCTTCAGAATATGCATGCTCAAGGTCGCGTATTGATGGTGCATATTGCCTCCCTTGTATTGTTTGTCTTTTTTGCTCCAACTTTATCCAGGAGATAAAACAGAGGTCCCTGCATATTTAGGTCACGTTTTAAGCCCAAAGAGCTGCATTGTTGGTTTAATTTTGTCCAAATCATCCTTGAAACACATCTAACGTAATTGCATGAATTCTCCTTGATTTGAAGTGGTCATTAATCTTCAAATTCTACAAATGCAACAAGTTTTACACATTAATCTGCTCAAATGCAAGTTTTCACTAGAAACCTAGTTAATTAGCTATAAAAATGATTAAAACACACCAAAAACTAAACTATAAAACACACAAAATACACACTTATTAGAAACAGTAGCAGAACATGCAACTAGACCATTGGAATTAAGAAAATAAAGACCATTATGGTCATGCCCTTCACCAATTGTCCTCTTTGCCTTCAAATCTTGAATGACAACAGAATCAGAAGAAAGGTAACTAAACACTATAGAAGTTTAGTGAACTTACTAATAGACATCAGATTAAAAGGTAAAGTGGGTATGTAAAGACAAAAGACATTGGAAGAGATGGATTAAGTTCTAAAGTGTCTATTCCTTTAAAATTTAGTTATAGATCCATCAGCTAAAATCACATGATGAAAGGAAGCAGACTCTTGAATATTGGAAAAAATCCTAGATGTACTTGACATATGATCAGTAGCCCCAGAGTTAATAACCCATGAGTCAAAATTAGTGGATGTGGAGAGATAAGTTATAGCATTACCTATTGGTGCTAAAGAAGAAGAGGTAATAGATGCTTCACTTGCAACTTGGCATTGCAAGAATTTAGCATAGTCTTTGTCAGGTATGGTAAAATTTTTCTTGAACCCTTGTATTGAAGAAACTAATTCAGCTTGGTTGGTAGCAGTATTATTAGCAAACTAAGGATGTTTTCCAATTAAATCTTGACAAGTATCACGAGTGTGATTCTTCAATCCACAATGAGTGCATTTGAGAGTTCCTCGACCTTAACGACCCCCGTGACCTCCTCTACTTCTTCCTCCACAAGAACCACATCCAAGACTAAACTGTTCAATCCGATTGTTCTTTGCAACTAAAGTAGACTTGTCATTAATTATAGCCCATCACCCCGTGCATTATTCTTAGATGTAGAACGTAACACACAAGCATATGCCTCTGCAAAGGAGGATAATTTTTCATCTAATAAAATTTGAGATTTGATCGGATCAAATTCTAGCTTAAGGCCAACCTAGAATTTAAGCACAAATATTTGTTCTCTTTGCCTCTGTATAACTATAACGTCATCCAAAGAGGCACTATAGCATTTAACTCTCTCAAATTTTGCTTGAGATCAGTGAAGTTATGGTCTTGCTATCTTGTTGCAACTAAAAAGACACCAAAGAAACATCATACATCCATGAAAGATTACTATAGCATAATAACCTAATATAATCCCAAACTTCTTTTGTCATTTCACAATGAGATTACATGTGAGAACCTCAAAGTATATATATAAACCTCAGTGCATACTTCATTTGCATTTCTAATTCCTTAATAAATTCTAGCATTACTTTTACTTGTTTTAAATAAAGTGCGTAAAAATAATTTTTATGTGAAAAATAATATAATTGTACTAAATTATTATCTTACTTGACCTGTTATAACTAAATCGATATTTCTTGAGTTAGATTAATTTTATTGCTCTAAAAATAAATGCTTTAAATTTTGATAGCTAACTTTTCCCTAATAAGGTCAAGAGTAAATAGGAACTTTAGTGTTAAGGTGAAATCGTTAAATGTTAGATAAACATAACACAAGTATACTAAGTATAAACTTAGGATGTAA